AAGCAGACTTCCCCACTGAACAGGGAGCCTGATGCAGGACTTGATTCCAGGACCCTGGGATCATGACCTGGGTCGAAGGCAGACAAACGCTTAACCGACTGAGCCACCCAAGGGCCCTCTCCTATTTTTCTTGACTCAAATTTCCTTAAGTCCAATCAATAGACAAATTTAAATTTAGCTGTGTTCTTAGCTTAAAACAAAATTGGGGCACCTAGCTGGCTCAGTTGGTAGAGCATGCGAGTCTTGATGTTGGGGTTGTGAGTTTGTGTCCCATGTTGGGTGTAGAGATTGCTTAAAAAAAGAAATCTTAAAAAAAAAAACAAAAATAAAATAATTAGTTCAGAATTTAACTGTAATGTCTTTAATATTGAATACAAAAAAGGAAAACGAACATTAATTATTAAATATTCTTGATTTGATATTATAAATTATGCAAATAATTGTGCACCAAATTTTGAAGCTGAAGAGTTAATCCTTTAAATGTCTTTGACAACATAGTTTATAGACCTGTAAAAGTGTTCAAGAAACAACTCTTTTTTTTTTTTAAGATTTCATTTATTTGAGAGAGAGAGAGCACAAGCAGTGGGGAGAGGCAGAAGGAGAGGGAGAAGCAGGCTCCCAGCTGAGCAGGGAGCCCCACATGGGGCTCGATCCCAGGACCCTGGGATCATGACCCAAGCCGAAGGCAGACGCTTAACCAACTGAGCCACCTAGGTGCACCAAGAAACTAATCTAAAGCTTTTTGAGTGTGCATGTGAACAACTGTACAGTGATCTGATTGCCAGCCAAATGATCCTCAAATTCATTCTATCAGATTCTTTCTAAAGATGTAAAAATCTTTGATCTGAGAGAGGGGGGCTTCTTACTATTGTTTTTGGAAAACAAACAAAAACACACCGTTTTTGCTGTTGTTGCTTTTAGGATCCTGAAAGCAAAAGTCCTTCACTTTAGCTTGCTCAGGGGCTGGATATTTGCTTTGTGTCAGGCACTAGAGGGAAGTGTGGTGTCATACAACGGCTGTATTCTGCAAGCCAGGAACTCGGTGGCATGCCCAAATATAGGGAAGGGGTACAGCAAAGGAGTTAGAAAACTACTTTCTCAAGGTTGAAATAGGACAACTCTGGTTTCCCCAAATCTACCGAGATCTAGTGTTTTACATAGAAAGTCCCAATATAGGGCTTTGATCCCTTTTAAGCAGCAATAACATTAGATAATATCTAGCTATCTTAATAGTACCTCAGTTTCCTCATAAGCAAAATATTACCTACCTTAGACAGTTGATGTGAGAGTTAAATCAAATCACATAGTTGTTTAAGACAATACCTGGGACATAAGAAGTACTTACCACTTTGAACTATTATTCTTAACTAAATACACAGTTTCATAGTAACACTGAAGGTTTTTGAAATATGAAAGTGGGGGGCGCCTGGGTGGCTCAGTTGGTTGAGCGACTGCCTTCGGCTCAGGTCATGATCCTGGAGTCCCAGGATCGGGTCCCGCATCGGGCTCCCTGCTCGGCGGGGAGGCTGCTTCTCCATCTGACCCTTCCCCCTCTTGTGCTCTCTCTCTTTCATTTTCTCTCTCAAATAAATAAATAAAATCTAAAAAAAAATGAAATATGAAAGTGGGATTTTTTATTTTTTTAAAGATTTTATTTATTTATTTGAGAGAGAGAGCACATGAGAAGGGGAAGGGTCAGATGGAGAAGCAGCCTCCCCGCCGAGCAGGGAGTCTGCTTCTCTCTCTGACCCTCTCCCCTCTCATGCTCTCTCTCTATCTCATTCTCTCTCTCAAATAAATAAATAAAATCTTTAAAAAAAAAAAGACTTTAACATAAAGAGATGAGCTACCTTTTTGTAGAGGCCTGTTTAAGAACTGTTCTGTTGAGTGCAAGGTACCTTTAAGTGAGACGGTTTTACATGGGTCAACTTTGTAAGCCATGAGTCCAACTAAAAATCTCTGTCAATTATTAAACCCTTATGTATTATCTGGATACCTGACACTGCAGATTGCGAACAGAAAGCTTTTTTCCCTCAAGTTAAGCCTAAATACCAGTTGAAAAATGTAATTGTGAAGGGATTCAGAAAAACAAACCTTTTCTCTTAAATTTAGTGGAGAGAGTGGGATAGCTCTTGTTTTGGCTGGCATATCTACGGCCTAAACAATTGGCTTAAACCTTGTTTGGGATTCCTGCTTGTTTTAGCATGGCGGAGCTTGGAGTTCACAGAACCCTCCTTTTGGTAATTTCTCTGATAAAGTGTCTGGAGGGCACAAAACTGCTGGCAGATTTTAAAAAATGTGGTGACTTGGAGTGTGAAAGTAAGTTTGCTTTTCTTTTTTTCCTTCTTTTCCTCTTAAACTAAGGTTCTGAAATGACATATGTTATTGTGGACATGTAGGATAGAAGTGAGCAGTAATGTCATTGAGAAATATTTGCCATTATAAAATACACATCTATAAAAAGAAAGTGCTAGAAGCAAAGCATTTTGTAATAAATTTTAATGTAAGTGTATCAAGGGGCAAAGATCAGCCTGATATATAAATATATCAGAAATGATGAAGGTATTAATTCAGGCCTCAAAAACAAATCAGCGCTTTTACTGTTTTTTAAGGTAGCTAAATTGATTTGTATTGATTTGTATTAAAAAGATTTCAAACCATTTGATAGTTCTTTATTTATGAAGCTCTTATATTTTTTAGTTTCTTTTTTTTAAGATTTTATTTATTTCTTTGACAGAGAGAGAGACACAGCGAGAGCAGGAACACAAGCAGGGGGAGTGGGAGAGGGAGAAGCAGGCTTCCAGCGGGGCAGGGACCCCGATACGGGACTAGATTCCAGGATCCTGGGATCATGACCTGAGCCGAAGGCAGACGCTTAACGACTCAGCCACCCAGGCACCCCTATTTTTTAGTTTCTATTTCTCAATCAGAACTTTCTGATTCTCATGAGTTTTCTAAAAATGCGTTTATTTCATATCGCCATGATTTATTGTCTAAGCTTTATCAAACATTAATCATTTCCGTGTTCATTTATCATGTAAAAATAATGAAATCAGTGTTAGGAGTACATAATTTTATTTATATACTTGAATATTAACTTTCTCCTATCTTCTACAAAGAAAAACTAATTTTCATTTTATTGCTTAAGAAGTTATTTTCTGTTATTAGCATTATGGTGCAAGATGAATAGTATCACAATATATTACAATTGTTTTAAATATGTTCTATCTCTTCAGTGTGTGAGAATTATTTCCGATTTGCAACATGTAAATTAAAAATGCAAAATATTTTTAGTGGGGAAGTAATAATTTATAAGTAAATTTTTTTGAGTAAACATTTTCCTTAATCATTTGGATATGTAATTTGATATATAGAGACTTACTAGATGATGTTTTATAATAGCAATAATCTTTCTTTCCCTTTTTACAACCTAATTTTAGTTTCCTTAGGGCCAGACATGAAACATGGAAAGGGAACATTCAAATTTATAGTAATTTATAATGTTATTTTAACTTTAATCATATGACTTAATCAAAATGTTTTACATATGTTAGTATAATTATGATAGGTAATATGGTATGTATATTACTTTATGTACTGAAGGGCTAAATCTAGTGTATGTAGTTGTGATCATAGTTATTGAGGGCCTATTACGTGCTGAGTCTGGAGGGGTACGAGTGTGATTTAAGAGGAGGAAAATGAAATGTCAGATAAGTTTCTTGACCTCCAGGAATTAGGTCAACATGAAAAAGTAAATAGCAATACAACATAAGGATAAGAGATAATATTGAAGTTCAGACAAGGGGCAGAACAGGCTGGACCAATTTGGGATGTCTCATAGAAGAAGTAGGATATGAGCTCATCACAAAGAGAGACTGAAGGGTTTCTAGGCTTAGGAAAGAACAGAAAGAAAAATCTCAGAATATGGAAGGCAGATATTGCAGTAAAAATAATCTCAGTGCAAATCTGGCTCCACCATTTATCAGGTGTGTGACCAACTCTCTAAGACTTAGTTAAAGGCTCATTTGTTAGATTGATATAAGATTATTGACCTTATAGGTCTGTTTGGGGGATTTAATAAAATAAAGGTATGAAAGAGTTATCATAATGCCTGGAATATACAAAAGTCCCTTTTACCCATGGGTCACTTTCCATGGTTCTAGTTACCTGGGGTCAACCATGGTCCAAAAGCAGATGATCCCTCTGACATGCAGTCAGAAGGTCAATAGTAGCCCAACTCTATGTCACAGTGCTTACCTCGTGTACCTCACTTCATCTCATTAGGGAGGCATTTTATCATCTTACATCATTGTAAGAAGAATAAGTACAGTATAGTAAGATATTTCGAGAAAGAGAGATTGGTCACATAACTTTTATTACAATATATTGTTATAATTGTTCAATTTTACTATTGTTGATCTCTTGTTGTGCCTAATTTATAAATTAAACTTTATTATATGTATGTATACATAGGAAAAAACATAGTGTATATAGGGTTCAGTACTATCTGTGGTTTCAGACACCCACTAGGGGTCCTGGATCATATTCCCCCACAGATAAGGGGGACTACTATAGTAGGTGCTAGGAAGAAAACAAATTATCTTCACCTTTCCTTCCTGACAAGAATGATAATGACATATTCCAGGGACAATGGATAGATGAACTTGACTGTAAAGGAATAAGAGGAAATCATTTTAAATAAGGAAGAGGATCAGGTTATGAATAGCCTTGGATACCAAGCCAAAGAGCTTAGAATTGATTCTGTGTGCAGTGGGAAGTCTATGTAGGTTTTTGAGGTGATAAATGATATGAAGAAATTAGCATTTGGAAATACACAGGGTAGACTGGAGGAGGGCAAGATGGGAGGGGGAGAAATAACATTTTAATTTAAATTGTGTGTTTTTCTCACATGTTTACATAGCTTTAATAAGCAGAGTCTTAGCCACGAGAGATTACAGAGGACCTGACTGCCGATACCTGAACTTCACTAAGGGAGAAGAGATATCTGTTTATGTTAAACTTGCAGGAGAAGGGGAAGATTTGTGGGCAGGAAGTGTAAGTATCTAGTTTTAAAAACTGAATGTAAACAAAAAAACAATGTAGAATAAATGACTAGCTTGTACAGAATACCTGCTTTTTGTTTCTAAAGGAACTTTAATAATTTTATTTTTTTTTAAAGATTTTATTTATTTATTTGAGAGAGCGAGAATGAGAGAGAGAGAGCACATGAGAGGGGGGAGGGTCAGAGGGAGAAGCAGACTCCCTGCTGAGCAGGGAGCCCGATGTGGGACTCGATCCCGGGACTCCAGGATCATGACCTGAGCTGAAGGCAGTCGCTTAACCAACTGAGCCACCCAGGCGCCCGGAACTTTAATAATTTTAAAGCACTTTACATATATAGTATATATGTAATATATATTTAAAACCCTTAACATATTTTTTAAAAAATATTTATTTATTTGAGAGAAACAGAGAGAGAGAGCATGTGCATGAGTTGGGGGAGGGGCAGAGGGAAAGAACCTCAAGTAGATTCCCCGCTGAGCGTGGAGCCCCACATGGGGTTTGATCTCATGACCCTGAGATCAGGACCTGAGCCAAAATCAAGAGTCAGATGCTTAACCAACTGAGCCACCCATGCACCCCACCCTTAACATATTTAAACAAATAAAAAATGGTCATGTTCAGTCTTGGTTCAGGGAATACAAGCAGGGGGAATGGGAGAGGGAGAAGAAGGCCTCCTGCTGAGCAAGGAGCCCAATGCGGGGCTCGATCCCAGGAGCCTGGGATCATGACATGAGCCGAAGGCAGATACTTAATGACTGAGCCACCCAGGCACCCCGGTTCCAGAATTTCTATAAAAGTAATATTTTCAGAAGGCATTCTGGTTGGAATAGAGAACTAAGAGTGCCTTGAAATTATTTTTACATAGCATGCATAGTTTTTGAAGTTAAGTTTTATATTTACTTGGAGAATAAAATTTAGAGGTGCTGGTGGAGATTATGGGATGTCTAGGCAACACCAGTGATCCCATGATGCTGCCAATGGCTTAGTTTAAAAGAGACTGGGAAGTTTTAGTTAATTGGATTAAAAGACATGTCTTTCTGAGCAAATAAAGGATGGCTTGTTTTTTTTTTTTAAGATTTTATTTACTTATTTGAAAGAGAGAGAGAGAGAGAAAGCACGGGTGGGGTTGGGGGGAGAGTGCAGAGGGAGAGAGAGAGACTCTCTGCGGAGCAGGGAGCCTGATATGGGGTTTGATCCCAGGACCCCGAGGTCATGACCTGAGCCAAAGGCAGATGTTTAACTGACTGAGCCACCAGGCGCCCCAAGGATGGAGTTCTTATTGAAGAGATCCAGAGAGATGAGTAGCCTAGAGAATCAAGGTATATGAATTTTTCATGAAAAACAACAATGACAACAATTGGGAGAGTCTTTTATTTGGCCAAAGTCCTATTACACTGAAATTCCTAGAAGCCTGAATAATCTCTGTAAATATGTAACAGGAAAATTAATGATTAATCTTTTCAATTGGAAACACATTTGTATCTTTGATGGTATCATTATGCTTTATAATGAAAAGATGCTATAAGCAATTTTACTTCCAAGCTGAACAAGCATGACCAACCTGATGCATACATCATTTCCATATTGAACATGCAACAGATTTTTCTGTTGTGTAACCCCTGTGATCACTATTCGAAGGAACAGGTTCTGTTTGGATTGATCCTGCTTTTTAGCATTAGGGGCTGTATGACCGAACCCCTGACTGTCAATGGCCAGAATTATTTGGCTTTTGCAGTTCCCAAGATTCCTTACTGCTTATGGTCTCTTACACATGCCAGTGGATGTCTTTGAACAAATTAGAGGCAACCAATGCAGCTGTAAGAAAAATGACACGGTAGGGATCGTAAGAGGAAAGGAAAGCATTCTTTCTTGTTTTCTATGTGTGAAAATGATAGTTCCACACAAAAGCAGCATGTAATGTGTGGAGCCAGGGTGAAGTTTCAAGCATACTGAGTTCCTTGCATTAGGTGTTTTAGTCAGGCAGGCAGCTGTTTAAGAAACCACACTGCAGAGTTCACCCACAGACTATCAGTTTCCAAGTAGCTGCAGCAACTACAGAGCTGGAAGAATCACAGTTGAGGTGTAATGGTGCTGGATCAAAGGACCAAAACATGGTCTTTAAACTTTGCAAGGGATAGGAAATGGGCTGAGAGTGGTGAAACCTTTACTCTTAGGGGACATCTTCTAGGTACTTAAACTGGATTTAGAAGATAGCTATTACCAAGGTAGCCCCAGAAAAGTTGAAGGGAACCAAATCCTCCCAGGAGGACTCATAGATCTTTGCTGTTCTGATGAATCCATCTTGGCCCTTCAGAGTTTAAATCTCTTACTTGATTTTGACATCCTGAAAATGTTGAATATGTCACAGCTCCATCTAGCTTGGCTACTGTCACCATTCCTTTGCCTTTTGATATTCCAGGTTGACAGTATAAATCTGGGGTCCACCTGGGTAAGGAAGGTCATTGACAAACATAAAAAGGAAGAAAACCGGTGTGTGGGGTGGTTTTCCCTCAGAAGATTGAAAAAGTGACCTTTTACAACTTGGTTCTTTGTTCCCTCAAATTAATACTATTCTTTTGAATAATAGGGGTATCTTGCTGGCTTAGTTGGTAGAATATGTGACTCTTGATCTTGGGGGTTCTAAGTTTGAGCCCCACATTGGGTGTAGAGATTAGTTAAAAATAAGATCTTAAAAAAAGGAATATGATTTCACTTACTTTCTTTTAGATGGCAAATGAAAGCCAATTAATGTTTGTGATTGAGACAGATGAAAGCCAAGGACCTGGGGCAAAATTAGGCTCAATGGTTATTATAGCTTTGATCACTCTTCCTTGCTAATCTTTATTCTTCATTTTGGTAGAAAGGAAAGGACTTTGGATATTTTCCCAGAGATGCAGTCCAGATTGAAGAGGTGTTCATATCTGATGAAGTTCAGATATCAACTAAAGTAAGTATTAATAACATTTCAGTTGTTTAAATTTAAAATTTTTTGGCTAAAGCAGTTTTCTGTAGTATAAGTGTCCATTGATTAAGTATCTTGTATAGTGAATATGTAAAATAGTTGGTCTGAGAACTCACTCTAGGAATAGTTTGAGTATGTGAATAAAATTAGGTAAGACAGAATTGATGACAGGCATACTGCTTTCTGAAAAATTTACAGACAGGTACTAGAGTGAAGTGGTTAAGAGCATCATGGATTCTGGACTGAGTTCAAAGCCTGACTGTGGCCTTGTATGCCTTAATTTTCTAATCTGTAAAATGAGGATGATGATTATAATATAGTGCTACTTTATAAACTTATTGGGGAAAGATGAACATATATAAAGTATATAGAACAGCACTTAGTAAGTGCTATATAAGTATTAGATATTGTTACTAATGTTATTATCCCACTAGGACAAAATTTATTTCCCATCACTCTCTCTAGGTCTCATATCTGTACAATTTCTTTTTTCTGTTGAGTTTTAAATGAAGCTTGATAATGTTGGGTTTGATAATGTTGGGCTTGACAATGAGAAGAGGAATCAGAAAGTGACTTTTCAATATGTAAGTTTGATTAGCCCATTTAATTCAGATTCCAAGTTAAGGCAACTTACCTTAAATAAGGTCAATGTGAAGTGAGTTAGCCTAGTCAAGAAAACTGTCTATTATCTGGCTCTTTCCCAGCATAAATTCTGGGATTAACAGTCAATTTAATGTATACTTACTGGTCCTGTCAGTTTTATCTCCAAAATATATATGGAATATATTGTCTTCATGTCATTTTCACTCTCCCCATAGCCCTGATCCAAGGCCTCATAATCTCTTGATAAGAATACTGCAGTATTTGTCTCCTTGCCTCTACTGTTGTCCTCTTCCAATTCATTCTCCAAACAGCAATGGATCTCATAAGAACAAAACCAAAAAAAAAAAACAAAAAACAAAAAAACATCAGAGGTCATTCCTTTGGTTTAAAGCCCCTTAATGGCTTTCCACTGAACCTAGAATCAACCTACTCTGGCTCTACGTGATCTGCTCCTGTTCTCCACCCCCATCCCAATGACCCTGACACTTCTCTCCCCTCACTCACTATGCTCCTGGCCACACTCACCTATTGACTGTTCTTAGAACATGCCAAACACTCTCCCAGCCCAGAGACCTAAGTAGGCTGCTCCTTCTGGTTCAAATGCTTTCCCCAGGTTCTTCACTTAGCTAGTTCCTTCTTATTCTTTACATCACCATGTAAACATCAGTGCCTCAGAGAAGCCTTCCATGATGATCTTCGTGGAATTACTGCATCTTAATCACAGATTCCTCTTTATTTCCTCCATAGCACTTACCACAATTCATAATTACTTTTTTCCTTTTGTTGACTGTAGAAGCACCTAGCACAGTGTATAGCATATAGTAAGCATACAGAAGCCCTACATTCTTAGGTCAAGTTCCCTGGGAAATAGACTCTAAGGTAGACCTTTACACCCAAGAAGTTTACTGGGGTATCATACTTTTAGGAATAACACTTGTGAGGGACCAAAAGAAAAAGCAGGATTAGGCAGAGAAGTTGAACTGTGATGCAGTTGCAACAAAGGTCTCAGTTGATTCCATAAGGAACTCTGAACCTGGGATGGCCTTTCAGAGTTGCCTTGAATAGAGACAAGTGTTGGGCCTTTTTACTTTTACATTACTGGCTCATCTAGGGTAGTGTCACTTGGGCCAGGTTAGGCTAGTGTTTACTACAGACAGTTACTATTCTAAGCACTTCATTCATTTAATCCTCACAACGCAACACCCCTGTAAGGTAGATACTGTCATTATCCTCATTTTACAGATGAGGAGATTGAGGCATAGAAAGGTCATATAATTCACCCAAGTTCACAGAGCTAGTAAATGGCAGGGTCAGGATTTAAACCCAGACAGTTGGCTCCAGAGTCTGTTCCAAATCACATACTATACTGCAGTGCCTAAAACACTGTAAAATTTCAATTTTGAAGTTTACTTTTTAAAAATTCTGAACTTTATTCTCATTTCATAATGATTATATCCAAAGAGCAGCACATCTCACTGTTTCATACCTTCAGATTAAAAAATAATAAGTTTGGGGCACCTGGCTGGCTCAGTCGGTAGAGCACGCAACTCTTGATCTTCAGGTCGTGAGTTCAAGCCCTATATTGGGTGTGAAGCCTACTTAAAATAAAATTTAAAAAAAAATTAACTTCATCATTTTTCTTCTTGATGATCTGGTTGTTCTGTGAGATGAACAAGAGGATTCCCCACCACAATTGGCTATATACAGTGTTCAATAAAAGAAGTCTAAATGTTGTAGTGTAACTTTTTTTTTTTTTAAAGATTTTATTTATTTGACAGAGATAGGCACAGCAAGAGAGGGAACACAAGCAGGGGGAGTGGGAGAGGGAGAAGCAGGCTTCCCGATGAGCAGGGAGCCAGATGCGGGGCCGATGCAGGGCTCAATCCCAGGACCCCGAGATCATGACCTGAGCCGAAGGCAGCCGCCCAACAACTGAGCCACCCAGGCACCCCTGTAGTGCAACTTTTAACAAGGCCTTCATGCTTTAGAATCTCTGGGCTGTCTGAGCTGTCACCATGTGCTGTGAAACTCCCCTCTCTCAAATCACCACACAGCTGCATGTGTCTGGTTAATGTACTCTTAAAAGAAGCAAGATTTTGTGGACCTGTATGCCTTTTCATCAAGCGTTTATTTCCAGAATATACTCAAAGCCTTGATTTTTCATTTAGATTTATATCATTGACCCTGAGTCAGTTGTGATATAAATGCTTGAGATTAGGAGATCTGATTTTAGTGTTTGTTGTGCTGTTGAGCTAGTTGTATGGTCTTGGGAAAATCATAGTCATCTATTTTAAGTGATTTAGGGAGAAACAAGGAATTTTAGTATATTTATGTCAATCAATTTTTCTCTTGTAGGAATCTGATTTTCTTTGTCTTCTTGGAGTAAGTTACACATTTGAAAATGAAGACAGTGAATTAAACAGTGATGATGGCAAAAATATATGTCTATATGAAGAAGATAAAGACCAAAAATCTAGTGTATATGAAAGTGATTTTCAGACAGAATCTGGATTTTATTCAACTTCTGAAAGTACTTTGTTTGAAGATCAGTTTCCAGTATCGGAAGCTCCTGAAGATATCAGAAGTACTAGTGAATCAAAAGAGTGGGAAGGAGTGGAAGCTGGAAGTATGGAAGAGGATTATGTTCCAGAAGTGGATCACATCCCACCATCCTCGCCTGAAGTGAAAGGATGGTTTGGATTTGGAAGGGAACTAGCTGAAGGAAAGGCTTTTGAATCAGTTATTGAACCTCTACAAGAAAGTTCATTTCAAAGTAGAAAAATGGCAGGAGAAGATGAGAATGACCTACAGGAATTAAATAATGATGAACCCCAAACAGAACAAAAGCAAGAACCTGAATTGGAATTCAATTCCGTGCCAAAGAAACAGTCTGAACTAGGTTCTGAGTCAGAGACGATTATCAGTCCTGAAGCCACTAGTTGGTTTGGGGGTGGTTTTAAAAGTTATTTAGGTTTTGGAGGTGAGCATACAGGGCTTGAATTATTGTCCAAAGAAAGCAATCCACCACTACAAGATGTTTCTAATTCCTTATCATCTGAGGAAGAACCCACAGTTCCATGCACAGAAATATTAACAGAAAAAGAAGACACAATCGCCAATGATACCTCAATTCTCAAGCCAAGTTGGTTTGATTTTGGTTTTGGTATGCTAGGCTTTGTATATACCAATGAAGATAAAATTATATCAGATGATGGAAAAAGGGAAGAAGGAGGTGGAGGAGATAAACATGAACATCTTCCAACAAGTAAATTTGACCCTGATAAGGAACAAGAAATAAAAACGATAGAAATTATGGAAACTGAAGAGCAAGTAGGAAAGGAAAGAGTCCTAGAGAAAACAGATGATTCTGATACCTTACTATATTTTAAAAAGTTTTTATATAATTGGAACTTCCAGGACATTCCAAAGGAAACAGAATTGCAATTTTCCAAACAGATACAGGATGAAAATAATGTAATTGAAAATGATGAAACAGAAGAATTTTCAGCTGAAAATTATCACACAGATAATATGGAAGTTATGATGCTGAAAAGCAGATCCAGTCCGTCAGGTTTGTATAAAATATCTGTAATTTTATTTATTTATTTATTTATTTATCTATCTATCTATTTATTTATTTATAAAAGATTTTATTTATTTATTTGACAGCGAGAGAGAGTGCACAAGCAGGGGAGCAGCAGAGGGAGAGGGAGAAGCAGGCTCTCTGCTGAGCAGGGAGCTCAGGACCCTGGGGTCATGACCTGAGCGGAAGGCAGACACTTAACCGACTGAGCCACCTAAGTGCCCCTAATATAATTTACTTTTTTAAACATAATTTATTTTTATCAGTACAAATCGGATGAAAAAGTCCAGAAATCCATGTTTCTCAATATACTCAATAATTAACAACAACCTTATCAACTACCCTTTTATTAATTTCTGATTTACTCTGGGACTTAGATCTTAATATTATAAAATAAAATACTAAGGAAGAAAGAATGATTGGAGATACATAGGTGTTCCAAGAAGATCTTAAGATAGCTTACAATATATTTTTATTTGTATTGAAGTAGTGTATGTTAACAGGTTTAAAAATATAAATAGTACTAAGGCTATTTTTTTTTAAGATTTTATTTATTTATTTGACACAGAGAGACACAGCGAGAGAGGGAACACAAGCAGGGGGCAGTGGGAGAGGGAGAAGCAGGTTTCCCACTGAGCAGGGAGCCTGATGTGGGGCTCAATCCCAGGACCATCAGGACCTGAGCCAAAGGCAGATGCTCAACCAATTGAGCCACCCAGGTGCCCCAAGGCTATTTTTCTTTTTCTTTTTTTTTTTTTTAAAGATTTTATTTATTCATGAGAGACAGAGAGAGAGAGAGAGGCAGAGGGAGAAGCAGGCTCCCAAGGAGCAGGGAGCCCGATGCGGGACTCAATCCCAGGACTCCAGGATCATGACCTGAGTCGAAGACAGACGCTTAAGCATCTGAGCCACCCAGGCGCCCACTATTTTTCTTTTTAAACAAAAGCAATTTCTGTTCCCTGTGTCCATCTCTACTCTAACCTCTGTTCCAGGGACAGTAATTTCTTTCTTTCTTTTTCTTTTTTTTTTGAAGCAAATTTCTTTTAGTATTTATCTCTATTTATAAAACATTTATATCGTTCTGCTTTGATTTATATTAGATGATGTCCATTGACTTTCTATTTTGGTAAATGAGGATTTCTTTCTGCTCATTTACATTAACTTTTTAGCTCATTAACACCTTCCCAGTATAACTATGTTTGAATGGTTTTCTCTCAATTCTGGGAGCTCAAGAGTAGGCAATGGAAGAGGGCAGAGTATCAGAGGATACTTCTAGATCCAGATGTATAGGTATCTAGTAATTCCTATGATTAAAAACCTGTGGATTCTATTTTAAGTAAAGAATTATATAACATGACTTTCCCACATCTCCATTCTGATGTCTCTCTGATGGACAGATTAGGAACTCCCCAAATATTGGCCAATAATACAGGAATGATTGAACTCTAGAATGACAGATAGCCTTTCAAAAGAAGAGATCAACAGTGTTGCAGATTCAGAAGAAAACACATTTATTTCCATCAGAAATGGTTGATTTTCTTGAATTTCCAGAAGAACTATATGTCATTTCTTAATATTCTCCAAAATGTGAACTCTTTACTTAATTAATACCCTTAACCAGAATGTATACTTAGATTCTTCCCCTTTTCTAAATGAGAAAGGTGTAGGTGTGATGCTTTTTAATGACTAAAAATATTTTTTTAAAGATTTTTATTTATTTATTTTACAGAGAGAGAAATAGTGAGAGCAGGAACACAAGCAGGGGGAGTGGGAGAGGGAGAAGCAGGCTTCCCGCGGAGCAGGGAGCCTACATGGGGCTCCATCCCAGGACCCTGGGACCATGACCCGAGCCGAAGGCAGATGCTTAACGACTGAGCCACCCAGGCGCCCCAAAGACTAAAAATATTAAAGACCTAGATTGCCAAAGGCAAAGAGGAAATTATTTTGTTCTACACTTGTTAGATCCTAAGGGAATATTTATGAAAAAGCAGATAAGAGTAATTGGGAAGAATAAGTGAGACTAAAATAAAGCAAAACAGTGTCAGGTCCAGAAATAGAGAAGATTCAAAATATAGACATATGAAAATATTTAGAGCATGTATAGAAACTCAAGGACAGCCTGAATATCACTTAAGTAGAATTTATTTATTATTTCATATAGTGATGCTAAGAGAATTTCTAAATATGAAAATTTCGAGAACAACCAAATGAGAATAAGGCATTTATGCAATTATAACTAGTTTTGAGGGACTTTCAAGAAAATATTCAGAAATTACTCTGTTTCTAAAAAAGATATGTCATTCTATACAAAGTATATTATTCCAAAATATTATGATATTAATTAAATGGAAAATGACCTGGGGTCATGTAAAATTTGTTTTTAAAAAGGAATACTAAAAGAAATTCAGATAAAGCCACAGGCCCCATTTTTTCACTATTGGGGAAGTAGCTACAACAACCAAAATTTTCAGATAATTTCAACAACTCTTTTATGAAATAGCAAATGAAAATTTGCCTTAATAAAAAAATGAATTACTGATCTTAAATCAATATTTATGAAGGGCTGAGACCCAAGATAACCAGATTTATAGAAAAACTAATATACTGATATAGGTATTTACAAAACAGATAAATTAGGGAACAATTATTTTTATTACAATATTAGTAACTATTTTACAAAAGGACTCCAATTGAACTTATTTAAATAATGAGTTTCCCAAGTACAGTTAAATATGAAAAGTTCTTGGGGCACCTGGGTGACTCAGTTTTTAAGCGTCTGCCTTCTGCTCGGGTCATGATCCCAGGGTCCTGGGATCGAGCCCCACATCGGGCTCCCTGCTCCGCGGGAAGCCTGCTTCTCCCTCTCCCACTCCCCCTGCTGTGTTCCCTCTCTCGCTGTGTCTCTCTCTGTCAAATAAATCTTTAAAAAAAAATTTAATAAAAAAATATGAAAAGTTCTTCATTATTTTATTTGACCTAAAATTCTGTTTATAAACAATTGTAAGAAAGTCATATCTGAGGTGCCTGGGTAGCTCAGTTGGTTAAACAACTGCATTCGGCTCAGGTCATGATCCTGGAGTCCTGGGATGGAGTCTCGCATCAGGCTCCCTGCTCAGCAGGGAGTCTGCTTCTCCCTCTGATCCTCTCCCCTCTCATGCTCTCTCTCTCTCTCATTCTCTCTCTCATATAAATAAATCAAATCTTAAAAAAAGAAAAAAAGAAAGGCATATCTGTATCTAAGGTAAATCTTAAAGCTTAGGTTTAAGTCATGTGAAAATAATACCCTGAAATTAATTTAATTAATTAAGTATAAAAATACTATAGGAAGTATTAATTTTTCTTAACATATGTATTTATTTTAAATGCAGTTAAAATGATATTTTATCAAGGATTTTATTTATTTATTTGAGAAAGAGAGAGGGAGAGCACAAGTTGGGAAGAAGGGACAGAGGGGGAGGAAGAAGCAAGCTCCCTGCTGAGCAGGGAGCCCAGGAGCCCATGGGGCTTGCTCCCAGGACCCTGAGATCATGACCTGAGCTGAAGGCAGACGCTTAACCAACTGAGCCACCCAGGCCCCCTGATTGCTCATTTTTAACTTTGATGTCCACAGAGGGCATTATTAAATTACTGATACGTGTTTGCTTACTTGGGACTTTCATCTTTTGAGCAATGCCAAATAAATGACAGCATCAAAGTGCTATGTTAAATTTGTAATTGAAAGTGCAAAATTAGACACTGAATAATTCTCTTACTAATCATTAATACTGCTCTTCAGAACTGCACTGATACTTTCCTATCCTTATCTTAAAATATAACTGAGAAGTAAATCCCACTTTACCTGAATACTATACTTCAGGCTAGGTTGGTTAAAACTTTTTTTTTCCCCTTTAACTCTGATTAGTTAATTCAATCAAATGATCAGTTTAAACTACATTTGAAAATTGAATTGTCTTAAAATAAATGGCTATTTGATATGGTATGCACATGAATATATGATGCAATAATACAAATGTGGGAAATTTTGACATGGTTCAAATTAAATTTTTTTTCAATTAATTTTGGGGAAGGATAATCCTTTTTATTTTTGTTTTTTATTTTATTTTATTATTTTTTAGGATTTTATTTATCTGAGAGAGAGAGAGAGCACAAGCGGGGAAGAGGGGCAGAGAGAGAGAGGGAAGAGCAAACAACCCACTGAGCAGAGAGTCCACCTCGGGGCTGGATCCCAGGATCCCCAGATCATGATCTGAGCCCAAATCAGATGCTGAGGCACCCAGGTGCCCCGGATAATCCTTTTTTATTTATTTATTTATTTTTTAAAAGATTTTATTTATTTATTTGACAGAGAGAGACACAGCGAGAGAGGCAGCACAAGCAGGGAGGAGTGGGAGAGGGAGAAGCAGACTTCGCGCTGAGCAGGGAGCCCTATGCGGGACTTGAACCCAGGACCGTGGGATCATGACCTGAGCCAAAGGCAGATGCTTAACTACTGAGCCACCCAGGCGCCCCATGGATAATCCTTTTTATTTTATTTCTTTATTTCTTTATTTTAGGATTCTTTTTTTTAAGATTTTATTTATTTATTTGAGAGAGAGAGAATGAAAGATAGGAGCACGAGAGGGAAGAGGGTCAGAGGGAGAAGCAGACTCCCCGCTGAGCAGGGAGCCCGATGCAGGACTCGATCCCGGGACTCCAGGATCATGACCTGAGCCGAAGGCAGTTGCTTAACCAACTGAGCCACCCAGGCGCCCTGGATAATCCTTTTTAAATGAAGGTTCTCAAAAGATGTGCATATATATTTTCATTCTAAATTTGAACTCAGGTATATTATCATTTAAAGGTATAAATCATTTAAATATTTAATATGTAGCAAAAAATCAGAAAAATCAGGAATATTTTATTTAAATCTCTATCAGCCTTATTACACTGAAATGCAAAATAAACCTTATATTTTCCCTAATGATCATATTATCAGTTGGATAATATAAAGTTTTTCTCTGCTACTATAAATTTATGACTTCTGTAAAAAAAGCAGTGATAAGATTTATAATTTCTTGAGTTCCTTCTCAGAAATTTATGGCACTCACTGAAGAATTATGTGAATTTCATGAGATCATCAAATTAAGGAAACATGTATAATTTTGCTTTTGCCAGACATGTTCATAGCATAGGAATGAAATCCAAAAATATAATTTACTATTGATTTTAATTTGATTTCTCAGCACAACTTTATGCTGTTACTGGGTCTGAAAGAGGAAATAAGCATATACCTGTGTATACTCATGGAAGCATGTATTTTACTAACAGTTGAATGAGAATATCTTGAAGTTTTTTACTTTTATATTCTACTTACAATACGTACTGAGCCAACATAAACATACAAAATGTTATTTTAATGCTGTCAATCTTTGCTTAATTGCTAAAATAACTTAAATAATGATGTTAAGAATATAGTTTGAGGGGCGCCTGGGTGGCTTAGTCAGTTAAGCGGCTGCCTTCAGCTCAGGTCATGGTCCTGGGGTCCTGGGATCGAGCCCCACGTCTGGCTCCCTGCTCAGTGGAGAGACTGCTTCTCCCTCTCCCTCTGCCTGCTGCTCTGCCTACTTGTGCTCTCTAACTCTCTATCAAATAAATAAATAAAATCTTTAAAAGAAAAAAAGAATATAGTGTGAATTTACATTATCTATATTTGTTTTACACAACACACTTTAATAAATTAGTAAATAATGTACTTTATAATATAAAACATCTTGTAATTACTAGCCAATTAAAGATTGCTCTCAATCATTCAAAATTTTCACTTGATATAAAAGATGTATCTGATTTTAGGATTTAAAAAGCTTCTATTTATTCATTGTTTCTTCTAATATACCTACTGGATAATATGCTATATAATAATATACTGGAGATGGGATGAAGGGGGAAACAAAGATTGACTTTGAAATTAACAAAGCTGCAAGAGAGTGGGAAAAGTACAATACCTGACATTTGATTGGTACCTTGTCAGTTTCAAATTTGTTTCAAATACCCTAAGCCTATGGGTATCTTTCTGTGCAAATGGCTAATACAGTTTCTTTGGAAGTGAGTGGTTCTTCCATCTTTGGAGCAATCTCATTTAAAGTTTGAGAGAGGCAGTGTGTGGGTGGCTCAGTGGGTTAAGGTCTGACTTCAGCTTGGGTCATGATCTCAGGGTCCTGAGATTGAGCCCCATGTCAGGCTTTGCACTCAACAGGGAGTCTGCTCCCTCTTTCTCTGCCCCTACCCCTCTCATGCTTGCATGCTCTCTCTCTTAAAATAAATAGATAAAATTAAAAAAAAAAGTTTGAGTGATAATGGCTTTTATATTTAATAGTACATACTGGCAAATATGTGTTGTAGATATGCACGATCCAGTGGACTAGATTGCAGAACTTGGAAATTGATTGCTGTAAGTTTTAATATTGCCTTTCTTTGTGTAACTGGCTCAGTTTGTTCTACCTATTAAATAGAATAGGTGGTTATGTAGGATATGATTACATCGCTTACAACAACTACTGTGGATATTGGTGATTACAGCAACCAGCAGAGTTGTTATGGGAAAGTATCCAGGCGAGGTGATCATTGAAATAGCTACTGATCATACTAAATTTTTCCATTTGCAACTTATCCCCAACAGGTGGTGAAACAGTATTTTCCAATCTGAAGATTCATTTGAAGGTGGCTCTTGCCACCTGCTCATAGTAGTTCAAATAATTTTTTGTATCAAGTCCCTGAATGGAAGTATCATGTTGAGTCCCTCTAAAGTTTGATTCTGAGTTCTCAAAAGAGATTTGCTTTCATTGTTTTATTTCTTAAAGGCTATGCCTCTGAATCGATTTGTGTTTTTTGTCCCTTCAGTATTGTAAAGCAAGTCTTGTGTTAAAAGCCCTGTGTTATAGTGTCATGATGTTGTAGTGTCTTACTGGTTTTTTAATAAATCCTTTTGTATAAAAAAAAGGTAGGCTGTAGATACTGTAAATAATATTGGTCATTTGACTCTTTCTGGTTCTCTAACAGATAAAGTAGGAATAATCTGTCTTACCAATTTTCTTGAATGGCAGGGATATATATTTTTGCAATGGCATTTAAATATTACACTTTCTTGGGTAATAAATGTTTCTAAGAGGAATGAAATCCTGTAGAGAGCTATTTAATGTCTTGCTCTTAGTCATAGGCTTATATAGCACAACAGAGTTGTTGACAGTTATGTTAGTTTTTTTTTAATTTTATTTATTTATTTATTTGAGAGAGAGAGCATGAGAGGGGAGAGGGTCAGAGGGAGAGGCAGACTCCCCACTGAGCAGGGAGCCCGATGCGGGACTCGATCCCGGGACTCCAGGATCATGACCTGAGCCGAAGGCAGTCGCTTAACCAACTGAGCCACCCAGGCGCCCCATGTTAGTTTTTTTTTACAAAGATTTTTATTTATTGAGAGAGAGAGAGAGAGAGAGAATGGTAGAGAGAGAGCATGAGAGGGAAGAAGGTCAGAGGGAGAAGCAGACTCCCCGCTGAGCAGGGAGCCCAATGTGGGACTCCATCCCGGGACTCCAGGATCATGACCTGAGCCAAAGGCAGTCGCTTAACCGACTGAGCCACCCAGGCGCCCTATGTTAGTTTTTTTAAAATAGTTTTTAGGACAAAAAGGCAATGTAGAGAATAGAATTGTATACAGTTTTAAAAATTCTTCCTTGGTAAAAGAATAAAGAAAAGGCATTGTGTAGGCTAAATAATGGCCATTCAAAGATGTTCATGTCTTAATTCCCAGACCCTTTTTGACATGGCAAAAAGGACCGGCAGATATGATTAAATTAAGCATCCTGAGATGGAGAGAGTATCCTTGTGGGCCCAATATAATCACAAGGTTTGTTAAAGGTGGAAGGAAGGAGGGTCAGAGTAAGGGAGAGGTTAAAAGATGCTGCAGTGTTATCTTTGAAAATGAAAGAAGGGGCCATGAGCTAAGGGATGTAGGTGGCCTCCAGAAGGCAGAAAAGGCAAGGAAATAGATTCTCCTCTAGAGTCTACAGCCTTGCCAACACCTTGGTTTTGGGACTTTTGATCTCCAGAACTCTAAGAGAATATATCTGTATTGTTTAAGTCACTAAATGTGTGGTAATTTATTACATTAGCAGTAGGAACTAATGCAGGGTGCAATTTATTTTTTAGTGGATTCTTTCCATAAAAAAGTATCACAATAACCACAAAAATTCAAAGAATGGCCTGCCTAGAAAACAAAAGGGAAGCCCACAACAAAGCAAGTATTAAATGAACTCCAGGGGTGCCTGGGTGGTTCATTTGGTTGTGTCCAACTCTTGGTTTCTGCTCAGGTCATGATCTCATGGATTGTGGGATTGAGCCCTACATGGTGCCCCATGTGGAGCCCTGTGTGGGGCTCCCCGCTCAGGAGGGAGTCTGCTTGAAGATTCCCTCCCTCTGCCTTTCCCCCAGTGCACACACGTGCTCTTTCTCTCTCTCTCTTTAAAATAAATAAATAAATCTTTAAAAAAAAACCCGAACATTTCTAATTTTATTTGCAGATATGGCTTCTAAAATAGAGTCACCCAGGAGAATTCATAAAGAAGTACACTTCAAAACTCCATCTTCTAAAAATAATGATGAAAAATCAAAAACATCACTAGGTACTGAAGGATCTACTCAGGCGGAAATAGACAGATCTGTGGAAAATACCCTGCCAAATAGTCAAACAGTTTCAACTGATTACTTTTTGTCTTCTCAAGAAGGTAAAAAAAAAAGTTATTTGTTTTCTAATGCAGCAATTAAGGAAGAAATTAGATTCAAAAGTTACATCACACTGTTAACTTATTTTTATTTATAAATTGACAGAAGATGCTTCTGAGTATCAGATTCTGAAATATTTATTTCAAATTGACATTTGTGATTTCATGAATTCTGCATGTTCATCAATTATAGTTCTTACAGAAAGGGTAAGTTGACCTTTTAAATCTTTTGCAATAATTTTATCTACTTTTCTAAATATAGGAATAGTTGAAAATGATGTTTGAGTGAATCCTCCCTATGCAAATGTTACATAATGTTTCTCTTTCCATAAAATCTTGCCTGTACGATTTCTCTTACATGAACATTTTGTTGCATGGATATTGTTAAGGATTTTTTTTAAAAGATTTTATTTATTCATTCGAGACACAGCTTTAGAGAGAGCAAGAGCATGAGCAGGGGGAGAGGCAGAGGGAGAGGGAGAAGCAGACTCCCTGCTGAGTCAGGAGCCTGATGTGGGGCTTGATCCCAGGATCCTGGGATCATGACCTGAACTGAAGGCAGACACTTAACCATCTGAGCCATCCAGGTGCCGCTGAAGGATTTTTTTTTTTAACCTTTCCTTAAGTTTTGTTGATCTTCAGCATTTTTTTTTTTTTTTTTTGTTCCTGTTTTCTTCCCTTTTTTTCATATCAGGGAAAAGTAGGCTAAATGAGTTAACTTGGAAATGATAAGAGCCAAAATGAATCTTAAGCACATCTTATTAGTATCTGAATGACAGCTGTGATCTCAAAATGGTGTATTGTGAGAATCCTACAAAAGCAACTAATATCTCAAAATTTAACCAAGTCATAGCTAAAATTCCAAAATCTGTCCACTTTTTATTGTAAATCCTATTAAATCCTATCTCATTTATTGTAAATGAGATATTGCCAAGGACTTAGCTATAGTGCTTTACATAGAAGGCCTTTTACAAATGTTATTTCCTTTTCTCATCTACTGCTAACATATAAATAATTGAAGAAGCACTTTTATCTTCTTATATTTTAAGATGAAATTTACCAGTGGCTGCTTTAAGACGCTTACTCTAGTTGGAGGACACAGGTAAAAAAAAAGCAGTAGTTATAATACAGTGCTGTAATAGCCATAGGATGCTACTAATAGACTGATCAGCTTACTGATGCCCTAGAAGACTGACTGGAAGTGGTAGGTAGAGATGGTGGGGAAGAGGGGCCTGGGAAAGTGTCTCAGAGGAGATCATACTTACCTTGAAGGAAGAGGAGGAGTTGGCCAGACAAAGAAAGGATCGGAATTCTAGGTGGAGGAGAGACCATTTTTAAAAGTAAAGAAGTGGGAGAGATCAAGGCATTTTTGGCGAACTATAAGCAATTCAGTTTGACTGAATATAGGATGATAATGAAGATTATACAGGGATTGAATCAAGAATAGCTTCGAATGTTATAATAGGAAGTTGAACTCTATCTTGTAGATAATGGGGTGCTAGTGAAGAATTTTAAGCAGGGAGTAAAATGAAAAAGTTTCATTTATAAAGTCTGTCTGTCAATATTATCAAATAAGGATTTAACAGGTAAAGACCAAAGGCAGGTCTGGTCAAGAAGTTATTGCATTAGTTTAGGAAATAAATGGTGAAGGTCTAAATCAGGGTATATAAACTCAAATGAAATGAATGAAGCATAGGTAAAGATGAGAATTGTAACCAACAGAGTGTGTATGCTTTCTCCAAAGGATGTAGCTACTATTTACCTTTAGCCTGGTTTTGCCAGATCTTTTGATATTTCAAGAAAAGGTGGAAATCTGGATATTTTGTGTGAAATCTCTTGATTTTGAATGCTGGCAAATATTCAGATTAAAAAGAAATACCATACAGGTCAGACAAAATGTTCTGTGGATCAAGTTTGGCCCCCTAGCCACCTTTTTTAACCTTTGGTCCAATAGCTGATGGTGGTTGTTAAAATGATTGGAAGGACAAACTAGACAGATCTTTTGCAGATAGAATTCATTGGATTTAATGATTGATTGAATGTAGCATAGAGAGGAAAATAGAAAAGTGTGGATAACTTACCAGGTTTCTAGCTTGGGTGACCAGGTAGATGGTGGTGACTGTGATAAGAGTCTGTGAAAACTGGGCTTCATAATATATATCATTTTGCTTTCAGAGACTTCCTCTTCACTTTATTTCTTTGCTAAGGTTCTAGAGAGTTGATATTACCTGGCAAATAAGCCCAGAGAAGTGATTAACTTACCCTGTATGATTTGTTCTTAAAGACACTGATTAAAACACTATATCAAAAACTAATGATGTAATGTATGGTGATTAACATAACAATAAAAATTAAAAAAAAATAAAAGCCTTAAGACAAAAAAAACCCCAAAAAACTTTACTTAGAAATCTGCTCCATCATAGGAGAAAATAAAAACCAGTAAGAATGATGATTATAAAGTCATAATAAAACTTTCAACTCCCCATGGAATTAGTTGTATACTGGTATGTCCTACTGACACATCCCTCCCCTGTCAACCCTTCCCCCACAAATTATACTAGTGAAGTTACTAAATTAAAAAAAAATAATAATTTATTAATCAGTATGCCACATTCACCTCTCATATAAAGTGCTTATTTAATAAAGGCTATGAAGTATGTTTATTTTTGTGGACTCAGTAAATACGGTCAAACACATTTTACTTTAACCATTTTGGTTGAAATTTTTTAGACATGGGAATATTGAATTTAAATTTATGGTAATTATCTTGTGACCTTGGAAAGTTACTTATTCTGGAGGGCAGTTTCAGGTTTAAAACTCTAATATCAAAAGCTGAGACTAGATGACAGGCTGCTGGTCAAAATTGACTTGTGCATTGTTTAAAAAATTAAGAACCGGTTACCAACATTTAAAAGGTGAGTTCATAACAAAGATCTGAATTTCTGGGTTCTCTCGAAAAAGTAGAAGACTGTAATATATAGTCTCCCATTTTCATATGGCAACCAAGAAGCTCAAGGAATAGTACTTGTATTGAATAGACATGAATTCTTCATCTCCCTGCATTTAGTTCATCTGTATGGCCTCTATAGGGCTTTAAGTTCATAATGTTTGGACTAAATGTTCTGAAGAATTCCTGTCAGACCTAGAATTTTAAAATCTTAGTGCATCTACTAAGCTCCCATAATATAGCTTTGAATAGCTGCAGTAAATGGAAAATCTGAGCAATTTTCCAGTTAAATTTAGGTGAAAAGGTTTCCTTTTCTTCTGCCTAAATGTTTCAGGTAATTTTTTCTATTTGCTAGTAATTTCTGTTAGATTTTTATACAACATACTTTCTTTGAATTGTTTAAGAAATAGGAATTAATACTACTTTTTATCTACTTTATAATTGAAGAAGCTCTTTGAGTTCTAACATTTATCTATTCTTAATTAGAATGCTTCATTTATATGTGGAATTAACAAAGGAAATTACCAGCTCTTGTTCAACAGGTAACTCCTGATTCAATATGTTCTGAGAACAACTCTTACATCACTAGTACAGAGAATGAAAGTGTGGCTCAGCATGTTTGGTTTTCTTCCAAAGGACTAGATCCTATAGCCCATGCCATTGTTTAATTAAATGGGCGTAACTAGTACCTACAGCTTTGCAACAGGGCCCTTCATAAGGGAAATCAGTTTCTAGACTGTGGACAAGGTTTATTGGTTAGCATGTTTCCAGTGTTCTTTGATGCCTCCTAGTAGCTGTCACTAAGAGCATTTGTTCTCCATTTCCCTTAAAGCAGGTCTATATAAGACAGCAAAATCCCATATCTATTTGAGAACAATCTTTGAATATCTTTTACATGGTAAAAGATATATGAATTGACTATAGAATACAACATTCAATTTTTATCAGTTATCAAATTCAGGATGTCTCTTTTCAATTGTAGATTTTTATGAGGGTAGTAATATATATGATATTTTAGAAAAAAACATATTTAATCAGGAGTGACGGCCATGAAATTGGATTCTGTGTTGGTAGTCACAACTCCACCTACAGCACCCCTTTACCGCACATGTGTCAAAACAGGATCACAATCTGTGTGGAAACAGGAGTGTATCAGATGTATGAGAATCTGAAAATCTTTCTCAAGGATATGAGGTGCTTAGTAGAACTTTATTTACATGTTAAGATATTTTAACATGAACTTTTTAAAAAATGGAACTGAACGATTTAGAGGAAGAGGTAAGTTTCTATATGACTAGTAAGTGTACAGAAGAGAAATTAGGTTTGAATTTGGCACTGAGTTGAAGTTTTACTGTGTTTTTATGGGGGAATCTTTTAGATTTTTAAAAATTTTCATTTATTATTTTGTATTTAATCTATGTTTTTAATATTTGGAATGGTAATTATTGAAAAATTGGAAAAGGGCACAGACTGCCTTAGGCAAAAGGATTAAAAAAAATGTTTTAGGTTATAAATAAGTCCTGAAAGCTGAAAATGATTCTAGCGTTTTCTGAAAATGTTCAGACATTGAAGAATTTTTTACCAATACAATCCTCTAATTGATATATACTGTTCTATGATTCTCTGAAATTTTAAATATAAAATTTTGGTTATGCTTCTGTTTTGACTTTAATAAGGTATTCACATAATATAATTTCAATACACACTGTCCAACATATAGGAATGTTGTGTAATACCTTAAAATTGAAGAAATATTAAGCAATTTCTGCTACGTTTTGATACTGATAGTTCCTGGAAACTGCAGGCTGATGTGGCAAAAGAGAGCACTTTAGAGTTTTAAACAACTAGGCCCCATTTTGGTCCTAAAAATCAACTGTTGTGAACTTGGGCCATTTTTTGATTCTTTTTGGCACAGTTGTTCTGTTGCTGCCAGCTTACATTAGGGAAATTTCCTAAGGATTTAAGATTTTGTTCAACTATTGAGTTCTCTTGGGTGATTTGTTTAGGAAGAAGTATTTGCTCCTTTTTGTGTTGCTTCACTGAGGACTTGTAGCAGGCCGAGTTTGTTGCGGATTATTACTACTGGCAAGGAAGCCTTCCGGGTTATCCTTTACACCTATGTCAGCTAAAAGTCTCCCAGGAACAAATCCAGCACTCCATACTTTATTCAGCAGACCTAAAAATAGGGTCCTAAATTTAGACAGCAAGGTGCTAGTTTTAGCTCCCCTTCTCAGGGGAGAACACCAGTCGCTCAGCCAAGGTCCACAGGGGTTTGCTTTAGCGTTTGGCTAACTAGGAACTCGTGGAATTTAAGGCAGCTCTGCCTAGCAAGTGTCCAGGTAACAGGTAGAAGCGAGTAAATCCCTGCAAGCCTCCTCTGGGCGGAGGAGACCCGATCGATGTTCTCTTGCTTGGGAGAGGTTAAGCTTTGCCCAAACCACGGCTGACCCGCGACCCCTTCCTGTCCAGAGTCCAAAGTCCGGACGCGGTTGGCAGGACGCACAGGCCCTGCAGGCCATTTTCTGACTGGAATGAAGGCGGCGGCCGGTTTCCTTGAGCTGGCAGCGTCCCCCGGGGTACGCTGGGCTTCAATGGGGTGCAGATAAGCTCTTGACTGCGAGAGAAAAGCGCTGGGGGCCGGTGCGTGAGCTGGCGTCCACCCGTGGGTCGAGGGGCCGTGCCGCACTCACCCCGCGGGGCTCCACGCCCAGGGGGCCTCCAAGACGAGCCTCGCCGCTACCGCGGCCACCCGAAGTGAGGGGGCCCTGAGCCACTGCCCTAGTCTTCTGGGCTGTGCGGCCCACACCACAGCGCAGAGCCTGAGGCCCAATTCCACTGTCTCTGCCTCGAGCCCGTCGACTTCCAAGGGTGGTTGGCTTCGCCAAGTAGAGCGCCGGCCCCTTTAAGAACGCGAGGCAAGGACACGTCGCGCGAAGAAGGAGGGGAAAGTTACCGCGTCCCCGCGTCCCCGCCTCCCAGCCGAGGCCTGGCCGAAACCAAATCGGGGGGTGGGCGGTGAGGAGAGGGCAGGTCGCAGGTTCGTGCGGGACGGGCTTGGACCTTCGGATCTTCAGGACGTGGAGCATAACTAGGGGCGAGGCTCTCCGGGTGGGCATCATTGGACCCTTGAGGCCTGTCGGTGCCGTTCCCTCCAGCAACCCCCCGCAGCCGGCTCCGCAGTGCTCCGGTTGCCGGGTGCAGGTTTGGGTTCCGGACCGAACGCGGTGTGTTCTCTACTGATTGTTGTGGCTCCGCCAGGCCCTGGCTTCGGCCACTTCAGTTGAGGCAGCCTTGGCGCCATGGAGGGGCCCAGGACGGCCCCTCAGTCGTATTTGGGGCTGGTTCTGGAAAAGCTACGCAGGGTGAGTTCAGGCGCGATCAGGGTTAGTTGGCCCAGGGGTCGCAGGAGCCTCCTGGGGAAGGAAGCAGCAGACTTTGGCTTTGCGGTCTGAGCGGCCGTGGTTAGAGGTCCTGAAGCCAGTTCTCATCTGCTGTCGGGCTCCGGCCTCTGTCCGAGGCAGTAGCCACGTTCGTAGGCTGCTTGGGTGGTTTGTGTGTGTGTGTGTGTGTTTGTGTGTGGTGGAAGGGGACCTGGAGATCCGGAAGGTGAAGAGAGCGTTTGCCTAGCGGGATTTTGCAAAGGTGTGTTAAATGTTTCGGATTCCTGAAACGAATTAGCTTTTCCGTCATGTTATTCGTTTTGAACAGGGGTCAATGACACGTGGTTCTCCCGACTGTGAGAAACTTGAGGACTGATCCTCGGAAATGAATTCTTTTTAGTGATGAAACTTCTCGTTGTCTTGAAAGGACACCTAAGCCTGGACGGGGAGTTGGGATTGTAATTCTGCATTTTCTTGTAATAAAGAATGCTCTTTGGAGATACTTTACCATAAGTGAGATTTTTCTTCTCTTCTTTCTGTGTGTTAATGTAAAAAGATCGTGCTGGTGTAAAATCTGGAGATACTGAACTCCCAGCGCTCAAGATGTCTAGTTTTTTTTTTAAGGTCAGTTTATAACAGGTTGCATAGATTTTTTTCTCTTAAGTATTTATGTGTCTTTGTTGACACGTTTAGGGGTATTTATATCCCCGTGCTTTAAAATGTGTGCATTAAAAATCAAAAAGTCTTTTAAAATATTGGGTCAGTTATGAGGATTGTTTTCTTGTTACCTAAATTAAAAAGTACTGTTGTCATGGTATTCAGTCATTCAACCAAGTGCATCTAGTGATTGTGTGTGTGTGTGTGTGTGTGTGTGTGTATGACAATTCTGTGAGAATTTAAATGGACTGAGTTTGGGCCACTGGTATCATGCTGTCTGTTAAGGGAGAGAAGACAAAAAAATAGTACAAAGTAGAAACTGATGAACTGCTTACCAAAGCATACACAAAAAGTGCTAGGGAAATTGAAGGGTGGGAGAGATTATATTTTCTTGAGTGTTTAGGAAAGCCTTTTCAAGCTAATGGAATAGTTTAAGCAGAGGGGACATGAAACAGCACTGTGTGTGAAGGGAACTCGGAACTGTTTTACTAGAATACAAAGTAGGCTCGGGGAATGACGTGCACAATGATACTTGTTGGAGACATAAGTAGATTCCAGTCGATGTAGGTGCTGGAGAGCATTTGAAGAATTTCAGTAGTTAGACTTTTGGTTTAAATAGCTTCCTGATGGTAGCATGTAGGTTAAATGTAAGGAAAACAAAACTAGAAATGGTGTAGGGGAGGGATGACAGAGTAGTCAAGTTAGGGATAAAGAAGAGGGTGCTGGATGGGGAAAATATTTAGTAGCTAAGAGCTAAAATGGGTAGGATTTCACTGATTGGATGTGAAGGAATCCAGAATGACTGCCAGGTTTCTGGCTATGGCAACCTATTCATTCACAGAGATAGGGTTTATAGGAAGAGAAGCATATTGTGGAACAAGAGAGGATTTTAGATTGTACATATTTACTTTCCTTCGCTAAAAACTGCAATAATCAAAACTTAGTTTTTATAGGACTGTGAATGAAGAGACACGTGGAGAGGGGTAGCCAGATTTTGCAGAACTGTTTCTAGTCCTATAAATGTATCTTTACCTGGATGATTTCTTTGCTAAAAACCACAGTGCTCACCAAATGGGCCTGGGGGCTAGGATGGCACAACACTGTTCTGCTTTAAATTTTTTTTTTAGTTTGAAAGATTAATTTATTTTTTATTAAACCATAATTCACGTAAGATTCATCCCTTTTTAGTCTCCAATTCAGTTATTTTTCTTTGGATATTCACTATGTTGTGCAGCCATTGCAAGTCCAGAACATTTCCATCACCCCAAAAAGAAACTCTGTACTTATTAGCAGTTATTCCCAATTTTCCCCTCTCTCCATCCCTTGACAACTAGTAGTCTACTTTCTGTCTCTATGAATTTGTCAATTCCAGATATTTCATGTAAATGGAATCATGTGATATGTGGCTGTTTGTCTAAGGCTTCTTTTACTTAGTATGCTTTCATGATTCACCCCAAGTAATAGTACTTCATTCCTTTTTATGTCTGAAAAATATTCCGTTGTATGGATATACCACATTTTGAATATCCATTCATAGTTAATGGACATTTGCATTGTTTTCACTCTTTTGGCTGTTATGAGTAATACTGCTACGGACATTCATGTGTAAGTTTTTTGTGAATGTTTTCAGTTCTCTTGGATATATTCCTAGGAGTGGAATTACTGGGTCATATTTACCATATGTTTAACTTTTTGAGGAGTTGCCAAATTGTTTTCCACAGAGGTTGCAGCATTTTACATCCCCACTGGCAATTCAAGAGGGTTAAATTTTCCACATCCTCTCCAACACTTTTTTTTTTTTTTTATTAGCCACCTTAGTGAATGCAAAGTGGTATCCCATTGTGGTTTTGATTTCCATTCCTGTAATTTTAATGATGTTGAGCATCTGTACAATATGCTTGCTTATTCACCATTTGTGTATCTTCCTTGGAGAAATATCTATTCATTTGTTTTGCTCATTTAAAAAATTGGATTATTTGTCTTTTTATTGTTGAAGTCATAAGAGTTCTTTTATATATTCAGGATATTAGACCCTTACCAGATATATGGTTTGCAAATATTTTCTCTCATTCTGTGGGTTGTCTTTTCACTGTCTTGATGGTGACCTTTGAAGTATGAAGATTTTCAGTTTTGATGAAAACTATTTTTTTCTTTGGTCGTTTGTGCTTTTGGTGTCATATCTAAGAAACCATTGCTAAAAATAAGGTCACAAAGTTTTACAACTATGATTTCTTTTAAGAGTTTTAGCTCTTACCTTAGGGTCTGTAATCCATTTTTTAATTAATTTTTATATATGGTATGAGTATGGTATGAGTTCAGATTCATTCCTTTTCATGTGGGGATCCACTTGTCCCAGTAACATTTGTTGAAAAGATTATTCTTTCTCCATTGATTTGTTTTGGTACTGCTGTTCAAAATCAATTTACTATAAATTTAAGTTCCTTTCTGGATACTCATTTCTATTCCGTTGTTCATTTGCCTATCCTTAGGCCATTACTAAACTGTCTTGATTATGATAGCTTTGCTGTAAGCTTTGAGATAGGAAAGTATGAGTAGTCCAAGCTTGCTTGCTTGCTTGCTTCCTTCCTTGTCTGTCTGTCTGTCTCTCTATGGCTACATAGCTATAGAGAAGGAAATGCTATACCTTGCATTTTTCCATGAATTTTAGGATCAGCCTGTTCATTTTTGCAAAAGAGGCAGTTGGAATATTGATAGGGAGTGCATTGATTCTGTAGATCACTTTGGGGGAGTATTGCCATCTTGACAATATTAAGTCTTCCAATCTATAAACATGGGACATCTTTCCATTTGTTTAGAACTTAAATTTATTTCAACAATGTTTTGTAGTTTTCCGAGTGTAAGGTTTGCACTTATTTTGTTAAACTTATTCCTAAGTCTTTTATTCTTTTTGATGCCTTGTAAATGGAAATGTTTTCTTTCTTTCTTTCTTTCTTTTCTTTTCTTTCTTTCTTTCTTTCTTTCTTTCTTTCTTTCTTTCTTTCTTTCTTTATTTCTTCTTTCTTTTTTCAGAGAGAGAGGGAGGAGGGGTGGCAGAGGGAGAGGGAGAGAGAGAATCTTAAGCAGGCGCCCCACACCCGGTGTGGAGAGCCCCATGTGGGGCTTGATCTCAGGGCCCTGATGAGATCATGATCCGAGCCAAAATCAAGAGTTGGATGCTTAACTGACTGAGCCACCCAGGCACCCCGATGGAAATGTTTTTCTTAATTTCATTTTCACATTGCTCATTGTTATTGTATAGAAATAGAACTGATTTTTTCTGTATTGATTTTGTATTCTGCAGCTTTGCTGAGGTTGTTTATTAGCGCTAATAATTTCTTATTTAGGATTCTTATTTTAGAATTTTAGGCCTATTTAGGCTTTTCTGTATGTAAAATTATGTCATCTTCAAATGGAGATAGTTTTATTTTTTCCTTTCCAGTATAGGTGCCTTTTATTTTTTCTTGTCTAACTGCCCTGGCCAGAACCTCCAGTACAATGTTGAATGAATATGGAGAGAGTGGATATCCTTATCTTGTTCCTGATTTTAAGGTGAAAGCTTTCAATCTTTAACCACTAAGTGTGATGTTAGCTGTTGGTTTTTCGTAGGTGCCCCTTATCAGGTTGAGAAAGTTCCCTTCAGTCCTAGTTTATTGAATGTTTTGATCATAAAGGGTTTTGATCTTGTTAAATGTCTTGTCTGTGTTTATTGAGATGATCATGTGATGTTTCTTTTCCTACTAATATGGTATATAACATTGATTTATTTTTGTATGTTGAACCAACCTTGTATTCCTGGGATAAATTCCACTTGGTCATGGTATATAATTCTTTTTATATGCTGCTATATTTGGTTTGCCAGTATTTGGTTGAGGACTTTTGCATTTATATCATATATTGACATGTGGTTTTCTTTTCTTGTGTGATATATTTGTTTGGCTGTCATATCAAGGTAATACTGGCGTCATAGAATGAATTAGGAAGAGTTCCCTCTTTTTTTTGGCAGAGTTTGAGAATGATTGGCATTAATTCTTCTGTAAACTTCTGGGTTGGAAGTTTTTTTTTTTTTAAATACACATTTCTTGTGAATTGGTAACTGGGGTAATGTAGGGAGAGGCAGAGATCAGAGTAAAGGGGTATTTTTTTTTTTTTTTTTAGAATAGGTATAATCAGATTTATTTAATACAGGTTAATGAAGTATAGAAAGCAATTTGGAAGGAGTACTTATATGGATCAGAGTAATGAAACAGACTTTGGAGAGGATAATAGACATTAAAGGGTGTTTTTCTAGATAGAAAGGGCCTAAAAAGGGAAGATTGGTCATACAGGTTTTGGGTTGAACCCTGGAAAGAATCAAACCTGATTAGACTTAAGGTTTTTCTTAAAAGGGCATTTTTCTTTTTTCCCCTACCATTTTTCTTTCTGTGATTGAGTAGTATCTGGGGCCTGGTAACAAAAGAATAACCCCATTGGGTGAGGATGAATAATGAACTGACCCAGGGAAAGATGAAATACAGGGGGGACTGTAAAAGCCTTAAGCTGTTTTGTGCCAAAGACCTGTTAGGGAGAGGAGTAGTGTGGAAAGGCCATGGTTACACGATCATGGTCTTCGAAGGATTAATAGAAATAGTTACCTTTACCAAGTACCTGCCCTGCATGTTGAAACAGCATTATTCCCAAGACAGATAAGAGAACGGAGCCACAGAAGTAGGGTAGAGGCATTCAGAGTCCAAATCCAAAGCTTCATCGGTGGTTTTCAAACTTTTTTTTTTTTTTTAAGCTGCAGATCTATTTTTTCCCTCACTGTGGGGAAATCATAAATGGAATCCAGTATACTCTACACATAAAACCTAAACTGGTTGATCTCAGTGTTAGAGGACCTGAGAGCTCAGATTCTTTCTTTGGCCTTCTCTCTGCTTACTCTCAGAAGCTCTGAGGTGTCTCTGTAGGTCTCCAGTTTGCAAGTCACTGCATTATACCATAGTGTTATTTTTCATCACTTGCCAGAAAAATATACTGTGATACCTTCTGTTTGGTAGTCTGGTAGCCCATTTCATGGAAAGGGTGTTAATAGTGTTTACACATAAACTTGTACTTATGTTTGTGTCTTAGTTTCTGAGGGCTGCTATGATGAAAACACCACAGACTGGGTGGGTTAAACAGGTAACATTGTTCTCAGTTCTGGAGGCTGAGAAGGCCAAGATCAAGGGGCTGCAGATCCTGTGTCTGTGAAGGCACACTGGTTCATTCTTCGCCTTATTACCTCACGTGGTGGAAGGGTCCAGGGAAGTCTCTGTGGCCTCTTCTGAGGGCACTGATTCCATGCACAAAGGCTCTGCGTTCATGATCACCTCCCCAAAGCCCTACTTCCAGATACCATCACTCTGGTGATTAGGTTGCTACATATGAATTTTGGGGGGGACACAAACATTCCATGTATATCAGTTTGTAATCACTTTTTATCAAACGTGCATTTTTGAAAAGTTAATTTTCTTTGTCTTGAAGGTTGTGGCAGCATTGCCTGAAGATATGAGAGGTCCTAATCCCTATGGTTTCCCATGGGAATTGGCGATATGTGCAGGTGTTGTTGGATTTTTTGTTGTTCTCTTGTTTTTGTGGAGAAGTTTTCAATCGGTAAGTAACCAATACTAAGAGAATATTCAACAGCTAATATGAGAACCAGATCTTTTATTTTAAGGAAACAACTTAGCTTATTGTTTGTTTGTTTGTTTTAAGATTTTATTTATTTGACAGAGAGAGACACAGTGAGGGGGAACACAAGCAGGGGGAGCGGGAGAGGGAGAAGCAGGCTGGGAGCCCGATGTGGGGCTCGATCCCATGAGATCGTGACCTGAGCTGAAGGCAGACGCTTAACGACTGAGCCACCCAGGCACCCCAAGTTAGCTTATTGTTAAGTGCGTTTCTCACGTTAATATGTGGCTACTAGAAGCTGACTATGGATTCAGAGGAATTTTTTTAAGTGGAAAAATTTTAAAGACTTTCTTTGTAGAAGTATTCTACACTAATATTAAAACCCTACATTTATATCTTATTTATTTTGATCTGTTTATTTTTAAAAAGATTTTATTTATCTATTTGAGATCGAGAGCAAGAGAGAGAGAGAGAGAGAGAGATTATGAGGGGGGAGGGGCAGAAGGAGAGGGGGCCTGATGCAGGGCTGGATCCCAGGACTCTGGTATCATGACCTGTGCTGAAGGCAGCCGCTTAACCGACTAAGCCACCCAGGTGCCCCGTGATCTGTGTAAACGGTATACTAAACATCTCTGAATGTACCACTCTCTCTGCAAGCAAAACCATTGACTGTCACTTATATTTAGGTGATATTTCCTAACTGCATCCCCTTTTCCCCTTTCTTCCTTGTACTAGAGGTAACCCTGTTCTGGATTCTGTGTTGATTATTCATATGCCTTGAAAAATTTTTTTTGTCATATCTACATATATTCCTCAGAAGTATAGTATTTAATTTTGTTTGGTATCATGCCATAAGTCATATTTTGGAATTTTTTTAGTTTATCCTCTATTACTAAGATTCATCCATGTTTTTATTTTTTTATTTTATTTATTTATTTTTTTAAAGTT